CCGAGAAGTGACCCTTGTGGAACACCTGCATCAATTGATAGCCATTCAGAGCACATCCCGTTTATAACAACTCGCTGTTTACGATCGCTCAGGTAGGATTCAATCCATACTAAGAGAGACCCAGTGACTCCTAGTTGTCGCAACTTAAAGATTAATCCCCCATGCCAAACCTTATCAAAAGCTTTAGATATGTCAAGAAAAACTGCACGGGTTTCGAGGCCTTGGTCAAGTGCTTGATGAATTTTGTTGACTAAATAGGTCAATGAATTAACGGTGGAATCTCCCAAGGCGAACCCGGCAGTTACGGTCAGTGAGAAGCTTGTTTCTGTGGAAGTATGAGGACAGTTGATTATGGACTATTCTTTCAAAGACCTTTGACACACAACATAGGAGGGATATGGGTCTGTAGTTTTCCTTGATCTGCTTGTCTCCTTTCTTGTGCACGGGCACAACATTCGAGCATTTCCAAATTTTTGGAAAATGTCCGTACTGTAATGAAACGTTAAACAATGATGATAAAGGGCGGCTAGTGACTGGGCAACATTTTTTAAGAGTCTATTTCCTAGGCCGTCGGGTCCTGTGGCCTTGTTAACATTAAGATCGCACAAAACTTTGTAAACATCAAGGGGGGAGCAGACGATTGAGTCAATAACAGACTCTGTTCTAAGAGTAAACAAGGGAAGAGAGGCGCCCAATGTGTTGAGTTGCGTTTGAGATGCAAAGTAGCGATTGAAGACATTAGCCTTGGTCTTGTCGTCCGTAACAGTACATCCGTTTTCGAGTAAAGGTGGTAACGTACGATCAATCTTACCCATTCTATTTTTTAAAGTCCTTCGAATCATTTACTATATAATAAGCTTCTGAACAATGAATATGACCAAACCAACAAAATGCTTTTAGAAATAGATCCTTCTGACTACAATATTATTTTCATCCAATCATGACTCTTACATCAAATTAGGTTATAATTTAGATGGCTATTCTCATCTCTTGCTATAATCCTTGTATATTATTTAAGCCTGTACAAGCTAAGAGTGTTTCACTACATGTACATGTAACTATCACATGCATCGTAACTGTGTGACATTCAGACTGGTTGTTTGTCTTGTCTTATTGGCTTTGTTATCTTAAGGGTGGGAGTTTTGAAAATTTTCAGAATCTGTTTAGTGACTGTCGTTACATTTATCTCTGTTGGGTGGTCGGAGGGCCTGCCCTCTAGCGGGTTGGCTCGGAACTACACCTCTTGGAGGAGGCTGCACCTCTCCGAGGACAGACTAGTAGATTGGGCTTGAGTTGTCAGATCTTGTCCATTGGTTACTATGGTAGCTGTGGTGTTGGTGTTGTTAAAAACAACACTGAAGTCTGGGCCTTTGTGAGGACCCTGGTTGTTTCTCTTGCACCGGATAACACATATAATGACTACAACAAGTGAGGTACCAGCTATAGAACCGAAGATAGCAGCAAAAAGAACAGGAAGGGACAAACTGGGGTAGATTGTAGTTTTGAAGGTGAAGAGACAGCAATAGGTGAAGAGAAGGTAGGTTTAGAAGAGTCATGGTCAGTGGTGCTGTCTAGGCTGTTTACAGTTGAAGCAAGAGGGGACGTCACTGTTGACACTGTCTGTAGGTCTACAACCAGAGTGGCTAAAGTTGAGCCAGCAACATTTGTCGCAATACAGACGTACAGACCAGCATCTGCTGCAGTAACGTCTGTTATAATAACTGTACCAATCACATCAACAGTCACCCTCCCAACTGACTCAACAGTAGCATTCAGTCCAGATGGGAGAGTGACCGTGATGTCTGGTGTGGGGATGCCTGATGTTTCACAGAATAAATGGATACTGGACTCTCCTTGTACCAAGGGGTTGTTGGCAATTTCTTGAAAACTTGCAATGGCTGGCTCTTCACAGATGAGATCTTCAGGAGGGACATCTTTAAGCTTTAGCCCAATGAGGCTGTCGGGTTGGGAACAAGTGATCTTGTTTTCAAAAGGATACGTTCCTGTCATTTTCAGCCTGAAGTCAACCATCCTACAGTCACACTGCCAGGGGTTGCTGCCTGGAATGGTTACAACAGGCCAGGGGTTGTTGCCAATGTTTACATGATAAGGCCAGGGGTTGTTGTCAATGTTTACATGATAAGGCCAGGGGTTGTTGAAGATGGATGAAAGTATGTCATAGGCCACGGAGGGAAGGGTTGTCAGTTGGTTATTGTAAAGGTAAAGAACGTAAAGTGCTTGAAGTCTTGCCAAATCTTCAAAGGGAAACATTGTGATGTTGTTGTTTGACAACCAAAGATCTGACAGGTGCTGTAGATTTACCAGTAAGTGTGACGGAATGGATTGAATTTGGTTGTTGTACAGGAACAAGCTTCTCAGTTGTGGTGTTGAGTTAAAAGTTCTGGACAGTACTGGTTTCTGGGATCTCCGTAGCTACGGTGGTAGGTGGAGGGTAAGTAACTGGGGACATCAAACCAGTTGTTGGACCTTCACAGATCAGATCTTCAGGACTGACATCTTTAAGCTTTAGTCCATGGAGGCTGTCAGGTTGGGAACATGTGATCTGGTTTTCAAATGGATAAGACCCGTTCATCTTTAGCCTGAATTCCACCATCCTACAGTTACACTGCCAGGGGTTGTTGCCAATGATTACAGTAGAGATGGATGAAAGTATGTCATAGGCCACAGAGGGAAGGGTTGTGATGTTGTTGCCAGACAGTCTGAGGTATCTCAGTTGCAGCAAATTTGCCAGTAAGTTAGATGGAATGGTTTGAATGTGGTTGTTGCGCAGGTTCAAAATTCTCAGCTGTGATGTTGGATTAAGAGTTCCTGCCTGAATATCAGTGATGTCATTATTGTTCAGATAAAGGTACTCCAAGTTTCCCAGCCCTGTGAACATGTCAGATCTGAGGGTTGTTAACTTGTTGTTAGACAGGTTCAGCCTTGTCAGTTGTGGTATCGAATTAAAAGTTCCATCCTGAATATCACTGATCTCATTATTGCGCAGCGAAAGGCCCCCCAAGTTTCCCAGCCCTGTGAACATGTCAGATCTGAGGGTTGTTAACTTGTTGTTAAACAGGGCCAGCCAATCCAACTGTGGCGTTGGATTGAAAGTTCCAGCCTGAATATCACTGATGTCATTACTGTCCAGATGAAGCCTCTCCA